AAAGTTTGAATCTAGAAATGATTTTTCTGGAGCATCTTTAATTAACTGTCGTTAACGAGCGTGTGCTAACGATGTCATCAACAACAGAAGAGCTTTCCTTCTGTTTATTTTCTCCATATTTATTCAGGGATTTCCCCTCAAACGGAGGAGATTTCTCTGACAGGGAACAGCCGTCTTCCTCTTCCTCTTGGCCGCCGACCGTTTCCTGGACCGTTTGTTTTTGTTTTTTTTCCACCGGCAGCAGCAACAGCATGAATCACTCTGGGGGTCAGACGGAGAGGTCAAAGGATCCCATCTGTGTGCTGCGCTTCAGGTCAGACTGAAGGTCGTCAGACTGTAACGCCCCGTGATTCACATCTGCAGGACGGCGGGGAAGTCGCACTGTTGTTATTACGCACTACGTTTGAAGAAAGATGATGAGACGGAGATGACGTGGAAGGACAGAGGAGGTCAAACGACCAAACAGATCAATATCACCCCCCCTCTGCCCGCCCCCAAACAAAACCCTTCCGGCAGCTGTTATTTTAACCTGCCAGGATATGATCAGTCAATATTTCATTTTTTTAAAAAATCCACCCTATCTCCCCTGCAGGGGGCGCTATAAACACAATTGTTTCTTTTTTTTTTTAAATCCACCCTATCTCCCCTGCATGGGGCGCTATAAACACAATGTCATGATTCAAACATGCAGATTATGCTTAACCTCGCTAGTGCGAAATGTCACAAATTCTGCCAGCTCCTAATTAAACCAGCGAAAACTGGATTTATTTTTTTATTTTTTATTAGGACGAATGACGAGTGTTTTGTTTATATGTTTTGTTTTTCTGTTTTTCCAAATCAGTTAAAAAAATGTGTTCACTTGTCGACACAACACAACCACCGAAACAAAAAAACCTCCACAGTAACACATGCTTTATCTACTGTTTTCCTCTAAATAGGATTTCTTTTAAACAAAACCGGTATCGCATTCTATCAAAATGACACAAAGTTTCACCACGAACCAGCAGAGAATCATGGTCAGTGGCTAAATATATTTCCTACAAAGGGTTAACTGGTTATAAATATATATACTGTAAGTTGAACCACTAGATGGCAGAAGACACAAACGTTGATTTAATTACAAAAACTAGACAGAAAAAGCTGCTCAGTTCACCACCACACGCCTCTAGTGACTTTTATTTAATATTAGTTTGTTGATTTTTTTTTCTTTGTAAACATGTCTGAAAATGATATGTAAAAAACAGTAAGGCACAAAAATATGTCTAATTTTAATTCCCCGTAGAAACCAACATTTTGTTTTATTTTTATTTTTAAAGCCACACACGTCCGACGGCTTCCTCCGCGCGCACACACACACACACACACACACACACACTCCCAGACTGTTTTCCATATTTCCGCGGCCACTCCTCTGCCGTCTCGCCGTTATTTATGATTTGTCACGGCCGCGCGGAGGTCGTGACTTTGACCTCGACGCTGGAGGAAGATAACAAAAGTCCAAACTGAGACGTCGGCTGCGATTTACACAAACACGTCGTGTCCGATGTGTCAAGGTTCCGTTCAGACAAATCTCATCGCGTGTCACGGAGCTGCTGGATTTATGTGGCCCAACAGTTGCTTCTACTCCCCGTCAGGGCCGCGGCCCACTGCTGCTGTGGACACCATCACTCGTAAACTTCACGACACACAGCGGAGGAGGAGGAGCGGATGCTTTTTATTCTTCTGTTTGTTCTCATGTTAATTGACTTTTCTCAGTATTTTCGTTTTTAAAAATGCAGCATTATTTATTTATCCATGAAGGCACTTCAAAAAATGGAAATTAAAAAACAACTAGTGCCGAGCTGTCAGTTATCTGGTTTATTTATTTTTCAAAAACACTGAGGAAACAGAAGAAAATCAGACGTTGGTGGAGTTACTTTTTTTTTTTTTTTTTAATTAGCAGCTGAAATGCTTTTATCATTTCAGTGGATGATCGACTGTCAGTTCATTATCACAGATAATTATATAACGTCATTTAAATATAAACGATCCGATAACGTAAGAATCCTTATCTGGATTTTTTCTCCGATGCAAAAACCCGATAACGCAATGCCTGGGTTTTGCCAAATGATGTGTTCCCCTTAAAAATTGTTATGGGGAAAAACAGCTGTATATGAAAGTGAAAGCCACTAGATGGCAGCATTGCAGCTCATTTTATCTATTTTAATAATCAGGGGATGGTATGTAGTATCCTGGTGTCAGCATTATAGATGAAGAAAATTAATATTACCAGGCGCTCAGTAGTATTTCAATTGCAGGGGTTGGAGAAGGCAATATTTAAGGCACAAAGAAAAATGTTTTTCTACTAAAACTGAGCTAAAACACTTTTGTAGAGTTATATTTTTTGACAATTTAGTGTTTAAGACTATAATTAAGATGAGGATTGTCTGTTAACGCTCAGACGACGTCAACACTGGCTCCTAAACCTCAAAGCAGACGGGAGATAAATGATTTAGAAAACAATTCCAAACTGGATAAGAACGTGACGCTCCCCCAGAGAAGGTTCCAAATCAATTTGGGCCGAAGGAAAAGCTGCCACGAAATGGAAAACAAGCAGGATTTAGACTGGCTCTTATCTGGATTTGTCGTGTTGCCTTTGGGGGGAGTCGGACTTTTTAAAGCCTTTACAAAGACATAAAAATCATCCGTGAACTTTGAATCTTAGTCATTAAGAATCTGTAGAAGATGAAATGAAAATGTTGTATTAAGTTTTATAGAGTTTATACAGGAAATGATGGATGGATGGATGATAGATGGATGATGGATGGATGATGGATGATGGATGGATGATGGATGATGGATGGATGATGGATGATGGATGGATGATGGATGATGGATGGATGATGGATGGATGAT